ATTTGGTTTGCTAGGATTTTTGTTGAGAATGTTTCATCTATATTCATATGGGATATTGCTCTGTAGTTTTCTTTTTCTGTTGTATCCTTTCCTGGTTTTGGTATCAGGGTGATGTTGGCTTCATAAAATGTGTTGGGAAGGACTCCTCCTTCTTGATGTTGTGGAATAATTTCTGCAGGATAGGCACCAGTTCTTTGTAGGTCTGGTAAAATTCAGATGTGAAACCATCCAGTCCAGGACTTTTCTTTCACATGTTATACATATGATAAAGGGCTGATAACTAGAATCTATACAGAACTCAGGAAAATTCAACATCTCTACTCATCAGGGAAATGGAAATCAAAACCACAATGAGATATCACTTAACTCCATTGAGAAAGGCTTTTATCAAAAAGTCCCAAACTTAGTATTATTTTAATATTCTTAAGTTTGTTAAGATTTGTTTTGTGGCCTAACCTGTGATCTATCATGGAGAATGTGTACTCTGCTGTTTTGGGTGGAATGTTTTGTATATGTCTGTTAGGTCCAATTGGTCTATAGTGCTATTCACGTTCTCTGTTTCCTAATTGGTCTTCTGTCTATCTATTATTGAAAATGGGCCATTGAAATTCCCTAGTATTACTGTGTTGTCTATTTCTCTTGTAAATTTTGTCAATGTTTGTTTAATATATTTGGCTTCTTTGCTGTTAGGTTCATATATATTATTAATTGCTATAGCTTTCTGGTGAATTGATCCTTTATTATTATATAATGTCCTTTCTTTTCTCTTATAATAATTTTTGACTTAAAGTCTATTGTGTCTAATGTATATATGGACAACCTTGCTCTCTTTTGGTTGTCATTTTCATGTAGTATCTTTTTTATTCCTTTTCCTTTAAGCCTATGTGTATTCTTAGGTTTAAAGTGAGTCTGTTTTAGACAGTATATATTTGGATCTTGTTTTTTTAAAAAAACCTATTCAGCCACTCTATGTCTTTTGATTAGGGAGTACATTAGTCTGTGAGGGCTGCTATAACAAAATATCACAGAATTTGTGGCTTAAACAATAGACATTTATTTTCTAACAGTTCTGGAAGTTAGAAGTCCATGATCAAGGTGCTAGTAAATTTGGTTTCTGGTAAGGGTTCACTACCTTGTTTACATCTGTTGCCTTTATAGTCTTTTCTCTGTGCTCACATAGAAAGAGAGATCTCTAGTATATTTTTTCTCTTCTCATAAGGACAGCAATTCTATTGGATTAAGGGCTCACCTTTGTGACTTCATTTAACCTTAATTACTTCCCTCCTTATGTACCTCGTATATCTTTTGGTACATATGAATTTGTGCCTCTCCAAATACATGTAAGGGGTGGCCAATATAGTATATAACAAGGAGCTTAATCAATTTACATTTTGAGTAATTACTAATAGTGAAGGTCTTACTATTGTTATTTTGTTATAATTGTTCAGCTCTCATGCTCCTTTATAGGACAGAAGCCATTCAGGACACTAATCTTTGCAACTCTTACATCATACTGTATTATGGGGCCTGTTGCTTTATTAAGTACTTTATTAAAGGCTTATTATCCCTTATTATCTACATTGCAGAAGAAATGTAGATATTCCAATGTTGGACATAGTCACCCATAGGATGTTGGTGGCCCAGTTCTTGAAACATTTTCATGGCTTTAATGGCATTAAGAGCACAGAGGATGGTGGAGTCCTCACAGAAATGGGAATATAACAGGTGCTAGCATAAAGGAAGAAAGCAGAAGTGGCTTAATACTTAAGAGACAGGACTATGGGCCTGGGGGTAAAGGTCATCCTAACTTGCTAAACTGGTGGGTCTAGAAAGAAGCCATGTGAAGAAACATAGGAATCACTACAAATTCTTGCATATTTCCTTCCTTCCTTCCTTCCTTCCTTCCTTCCTTCCTTCCTTCCTTCCTTCCTTCCTTTCTTCCTTCCTTCCTCCTTCCCTCCATTCCCTTAGGGGTTTTCCTGCTAATCACTACAGGGAAATAGATGGGGGAAGTATACAAAAATGTGAGGAAAAAACATGGGGGAAAAAACTATACAAAAATGTGAGGAAAAAACATGGGGGAAAAAACAAAGTTCACAAAATGTTCTCACAGTCACTGTTACTGTGTTACACTCACTGATTCCTTTGCTAAAGGGTATCCCTAATCTCCATTATTCCAACATTTATCATGTATTATTATTATTTTATAATAATGTTATAATATCAATAGAACTCAAAAGCAAAATAATGAACCTGAAATTCCAGCAGCTGAATGAATCAAACAGGATGTCATAGTCAAGAGACAGTTTTTGAGTTCTGATTCTGCTACTTCTTAGTGAGGCAGTCTGCAGCTGCTTATGTTCACTAAGCTTCACTTGTGCTTATCTGTAGAATGAGCATAATAGTGCCGACCTCCCAGGGTTGTTGTAAGCATTAAATGAAATAATGTGCATAAAAGTACCTCATAACTATAATTTACTGGGTACTTTGGTTATAATTACTTTTGTCTTTTATATTCACTTCTTGTTCTCATCCATAAACATATAGACATTTCCCAGCTGTGACTGTTGTACACATAAGTTCATAGCTTTCCCCTTGCTCTTATCGTGGACTTACTTGCCTGTTGCTATATCATAACTATCATCATTTTTAAAGGTTGTATGCTGTTAAGTAGATGTGACAAAATGCATCAAATAATTTCCCCACTGTTGAGTAGTATACTTATTCCTGAAACTTTAATATATAGATAACAACAATGAGCATCTTTTAATGGTTTGTATTTTTTTAACATAAATAGGAAACTTTAAACTCAAGGTCTACAAGGGCTAAAGAAGTGTTTTGGTTTTTTTTCTTCTGAGAGTGTAAATGGCCAAAGTCAGGATTGCTGCCAGTAAGGCTTTCATGAGCCAGAGCTGTCCTGACACAAAGACAGTGCCTAAGGACCCATAAATTGTGCTTTGTTCCCCCAAAAAGACAAGAAACAAAGACATGGTGGGGCCTGGGCAGTGACTTTTCAATGTAACAGTGGAAATAGCTATGCATGTTGGTGGGAGCAATTATTTAAAGATTGGAATATATGAAAACACAATTTTCAAGTGACAAAAGCCAAATTTCTTGCCCAAAGTGGTTACAATTCAAAATTGTCTAATTGTATGTGGGAACACAGAGCCATGATGTCCAATCTACCAGTCACAAGGAGTCTAGAGACGGAATTGACACCATCAGAGGTCTTGCTAGGAGGCAGGTCTGGAGCAAGTCAGAGTTGGAGGAGCAGACAAAGAGAAAAGAGGCCAGAGCCAAGCACCACTCAGGGAAGGAAAGACCAGGGGAGCAGAAGTTAAGCAAAAAGAAGCAGAATATAATCATAGGGGAAGACGCTTCTTCAAAACTGCTTTATTAGAAAAGACCAGGTGGAGTGGAGAGAAATGGCCTCTCCTCTTAATGGCAAGAAAACCAGATGGTGGTTGGCATTAGGAACAAGAAGTGGGCCCAGAGGACATAGGTGCTGACCGTCATATAAACCCAGGGAGCATCCAGACTCCCTCCACTTTGACACATGGAAGAGATGATGGGGACAGATGCAATCACAGGCCAACCTGAAAATGTCACCTCTCTGCTTAAGACCCTTAAAAGATTCCCATTGGCTTTTAGGACCAAGTCTGATCCCATGCTATGGCTTATAAGGTCTTGAATATTCTGGCCTCTGTCAATTTCATCAGCCTCATATCTTCCTGCAATCTAGTATTCTGGCTCAGTGTTCATCATCTCAGATCCTTGAAGGAGCTGCGCTCTTTCACTCTCAAGCCTACTTACATGCTGTCCCCCTTCCCATCTTCCTCATCTAGTTAATTCCTACTCATTGTTCATGTCTCAATTTAAATGAAATCTCTCCCAGAAATATATATTTATTATATCCTTGGCATCCTGTGCATGCTGTATAGTGACACTTGCCACACTCTTTGATAATACACTTTTCTGTTTCCATAATCTTGAGCTCAAATGGTGCAGGTACCACATCTGTCTCACTCATCATTGACTGTTTAGTGCCTGGCACAGAATAGGTACTTGATAAATATTTTGAATATAATAATATATAAATGCAAGCAAATGGACCAATTCCTTTTAGTTATTCACCACTTACTGTGCTGTGGCATGGTCTGTGGCAAGCTTAGTTCTAAAAGTGATGACAAGACAAGCATGGTTTCTGTCCCCATTTGGGCACACAGTCTAGTCTAGTAGGGTCATAGGCAGGTACATAAGCAATTCTGGCATAAGTGCTCTAAGACAGATGCAGAGTGTTCTTGGTGAAGGGGGTCATCATGCTAAAGAGTAAGAAAGAAAGGCTTGGCTTACACAGTATGGCCGGCGACATTAGCTAGCGCTCGCTCTACTCTCTCTAACGGGGAATCAGCGGACTACAAGAGACTGAACTGTATCTGCCTCTATTTCCAACAGACTCACGTTCAACTTTCGCTCACAAAAAGAAGCCAGGAAAATTTTATTAGTCCTTTTTTTAAAAAAAAGTTAATATAAGCCGGGCGCGGTGGCTCACGCCTGTAATCCTAGCTCTCTGGGAGGCTGAGGCGGGCGGATTGCTCGAGGTCAGGAGTTCAAAACCAGCCTGAGCAAGACCCCGTCTCTACTATAAATAGAAAGAAATTAATTGGCCAACTGATTTATATATGTAAAAAATTAGCTGGGCATGGTGGCTCATGCCTGTAGTCCCAGCTACTCGGGAGGCTGAGGCAGGAGGATTGCTTGAGCCCAGGAGTTTGAGGTTGCTGTGAGCTAGGCTGATGCCACGGCACTCATCTAGCCTGGGCAACAAGTGAGACTCTGTCTCAAAAAAAAAAAAAAAAAGTTACTATAAAATTATAGCAAAAAAAAAGGAACCTGAACTTTAGTAACACAGCTGGAACAATCCGCAGCGGCGGCGGCAGCGCGGGAGAAGAGGTTTATTTATTGTTTTCTGTGGTTGTTGTGTCGCTAGTCTCAAGGTGATGGAAGCTGCACATTTTTTCGAAGGGACGGAGAAGCTTCTGGAGGTTTGGTTCTCCCAGCAGCAACCTGACGCGAACCAAGGATCTGGGGATCTTCGCACTATCCCAAGATCTGAGTGGGACATACTTTTGAAGGATGTGCAATGTTCAATCATAAGTGTGACAAAAACTGACAAGCAGGAAGCTTATGTAGTCAGTGAGAGTAGCATGTTGTCTCCAAGAGACCTTTCATTTTGAAGACATGTGGTACCACCCTCTTGCTGAAAGCACTGGTTCCCCTGTTGAAGCTTGCTAGGGATTACAGTGGGTTTGACTCAATTCAAAGCTTCTTTATTCTCGTAAGAATTTCATGAAGCCTTCTCACCAAGGTACCACACCGGAATTTCCAGGAGAAATAGAGTTTCTAAATGCAATTTTCCCAAATGGAGCAGCATATTGTATGGAATGTATGAATTCTGACTGTTGGTACTTACATACTCTGGATTTCCCAGAGAGTTGAGTAATCAGCCAGATCAGACCCTGGAAATTCTGATGAGTGAGCTTGACCCAGCAGTTATGGACCAGTTCTACATGAAAGACGGGGTTACTGCAAAGGATGTCACTCGTGAGAGTGGAATTCGTGACCTGATACCAGGTTCTGTCATTGATGCCACATTGTTCAATCCTTGTGGGTATTCAATGAATGGAATGAAATCGGATGGAACTTATTGGACTATTCACATCACTCCAGAACCAGAATTTTCTTATGTTAGCTTTGAAACAAACTTAAGTCAGACCTCCTATGATGACCTGATCAGGAAAGTTGTGGAAGTCTTCAAGCCAGGAAAATTTGTGACGACCTTGTTTGTTAATCAGAGTTCTAAATGTCACACAGTGCTTGCTTCGCCCCAGAAGATTGAAGGCTTTAAACGTCTTGATTGCCAGAGCGCTATGTTCAATGATTACAATTTTGTTTTTACCAGTTTTGCTAAGAAGCAGCAACAACAGCAGAGTTGATTAAGAAAGATGAAGAAAAAACGCAAAAAGAGAACACACGTAGAAGGTGGTGGCTGCTTTCTAGATGTTAAAACCGGGGGCCATGCTTTTCATAACCACCACCTTGTAGTTGCAGAAAGCCCTAGATGTAATGATAGTGTAATAATTTTGAATTGTATGCATTATTATATCAAAGAGTTAGATATCTTGCATGAATGCTCTTTTCTGTGTTTAGGTATTCTATGCCACTCTTGCTGTGAAATTGAAGTGCATGTAGAAAAAAACTTTTACTATATGGAACTTTACAACATTTGTGAAAACAATTCAATTTGGTTTATGCACAGTGTAATATTTCTCCAGGTATCATCCAAAATTCCCCACAGACAAGGCTTTCGTCCTCATTAGGTATTGGCCTCAGCCAAACCATCTGGGACTGTTCTATTAAACTGCTGCCAGACTTTTACATCCAGTTACCTCCACTTTCTAGAACTAATTCTTTACTAATGTTATTGGAACCAATTTCTACTTCATACAGATGTTTTTTGCAACAGCAATTAAAGTTTTTTTTCCACAAGTCGGGTCCTGTTAAGAAAATGATTCCAGTCACTTATTTTGTGTATTACTATTTTAAAATTATTGGTCCATGCATTTGTAGTCCTATAATTGATTTCTTCTCTTACCATGGTGTCTTTCCTCAAACTCTCCAAATAAAGCAATACACTATTATCACTGTGGGTTTATATATAAATCTTATAACCCTCATGGGGAAAGGGAGATAGTCCCTGGGTTTAATTTTGGGCTCTTTGGGATGACAGCAACAAAATAAATATATCCAGTGTTGATTAGCAGAGAAGACCCATAGAGAATTATAGGTGGAGATTAGGGTGTACTGGCTGAGCTTTGGAAATCATATGTAATTGATTACGTATCAATCATATGTGCTCCTCAGTAAATGAAATTAGCTTCTAATTAGTACCATGCCTTTACTAACTTGCTAAGTAGTAGTATAAAAGGGTTCTTATTACTAAGTTGATTACCAGGAAGGTTTAGCATAAAGTTTGTACTAGATTGAATAAGTCAGGTCAGCTTGGATCATTGACCTTAACTTTTATTTTATCAGCCATTTCCATGAGTTTCCATTAAGTAATATACTGTAAACATTGGTTCAAGCAGATTAAGTATCTTTTTCCATCTTGTGACTTCAAGTTCTGTGACTTTTGTGATGCATGTGAGTGTTCTCACTTCATCTGTTCCTCTGACTGTGGTCTTTTACCATGGAATTCACAGGATCAAATGAGTGACTGCCCAGAATAAGAATCATCCAGGTTAGATAAACACCATGAAGCAAAATATATGAATGAGTGAATAAATAAGTGAAACATAACATGCAAAATTCCAAAATACTCAATGGAAAATAATTAAGATACAGGCTTTCAAGAGTTGGCATCTTATAGCTGTATTTGCAAATACTGTGGGATTTAAGCAACTGAGTGAATAGGAAAGTTGACTAAATTTTATATTTCTTGTCCTCACAATATTTTGATAATTACTGGATTGATGCAGTGCTGTTTTGTTCCTTCCGTATTTATAAACGAAACACCTTTTTTTAGTGTTTCTAAACATAAAATCAACTTGGTATGAAATCAAGTGGCTGGAACACTTTTGACTTATTTTAAGCATGTTGATTGAAAGTTTCATTGAAGAAGTTTTCAGTCAACATGATCAATTTGATTCTGTAATGAGCATAGCACCTAATGTTTTGAGGTGCTCTGTTTTGAGGACCAATGCTCAAAAGTGGATTTTGTTCTTGAACAGTATCCCAGTAGATTTGATGATGTTTGTTGGCTTGAGGTCTGATTTTTTTCCTAATAGATTTAAGAATTATAATATTGAAAACCTGCACATTTGTGTAGAACACAGCCTAGAAAAATGAGAACTAGTTTGAATAGCAATCTAAATTAATCTTTAGTATGATAGAGAAGGGAAAGTTTTGGTGCCATAATTTCTCCTTTCATTGGTGTTGGACTTAAATCAATTGAAATGTATTTCTTTACCACATTAAGCTTCAATAAAAATTTAATTGTCTAGTGACATCCAGAAAAAAAAAAAAGAAAGAAAGAAAAACTTCATCCCTAGAAAGTATTACAGCTTGGCTTTGGAGGTCCAGTAATGCTTGAGCAGACAAAAAAAGGGAAGCAAGGGTTTATCTGGCAAATAGAGTAGCTAGAGAAAAGCCATGGAACCAGGAAAGAATGGAAGATATTCAGGGGAAAGCAAGCAGGCTGGGTGGCCACTGTCAGAGATATTTAATTGTGCTATGAAGTAAGAAAGGAAGGTGAGCAGTGGCCAGATCACAGAGGGCCATATTTGTCAAACTAAAGAAAATGGAATTTATCCCATAGTCAATGGAGAAAATGTGTGGGGTGTTTGTGTAGGAAAGTCACAGGAGAAGAGCTGTATTTTGATTTATGGACAAACTGTCATGGGACAATGTGGTTGGGAATCCTTAGTCTAGCACCAAGCCTGGGAGAAAATGTTCTAAGGAAAACTTGCATTTCATGATCTATAGTATAAAATTCCATAAATGTTTATCACATTGAAAAGTATGTAGAAAGGATGTTGGCTGGATTCTGGAATGCTCAAATTAGAGGGATTTTTTTGGTTTCAAACCTGTGATCATACATATTTATCTGGTACAGACCAAACACACAGAGGGCTGCAGTATAAGGCACAGGTGAGAGGTACCACCTAAGTATAATAGAAAGGAACCAAGGACAGGAACACTGCTTAAGGTTCCCACTCCAGCTCTGCCTCTGACTTGCTGTGCAACCTTGAGCAAGTCTCTTCTCTCCTCTAGGATTCTGTTTTCTCAGCTAAACTCTTTTCATCCTAATGTTGTAGGGTTTGATGGGAATCTTGGACTACATAGTTGAATTTTGAGGATGGCCAACTCCAAGGCTTCTGCTAACCTTTGTGAAAATAAAAAAAAAAATTGCCCTTTCCTCTAGCCACTTTATTTACAGTAGTCATAAAACTACTCTAAGAAATACATAAATGTTTTCTGTCTACTAAGTGCAGGGCATCCCCTGGGACAGTATAGTATACAATCTACACAATAGTCTCCCAACCCTAGACCCACCCAATACTCATGTCAGTAAACAGGGGCTGGGAAGGCCATCAGTCTTTCCCAGTTAGGCATATCATATTGGTTCAGTACAGATAAAGGAGAACATGGGTTTTGAAGTGAGAAAAGTAGATTATGAATTATGAAGAGCCTGTCATAAGAATGACAATGGCTCCCCTCAACAGGGTGATGGCGGCAGTTCTACAGCCATACCTGCTCCATCAACCAAGCAAAATTTTCCGATGAAGACTATAGCCAGAGACTATACAGTAGGATATGGTGTGTGTTGGGGGGGGGTCTGTGGATTAGCTGAATAGCCCAATTGCTAGACATGGTAGAAAAAGGATGCCTTTCTGAAATGGCCCCTTCACAGATGACAGCTTCTTGAGCATGTCCTTTCAAGAAAGACTTTCTCAAAGTCATTTCAAAGGGGCCCTACATCATGGAGACTGTCTCAGACATCTCATATGCCAAGACACAGAGAGCAACAGTGGAGACTTGGCACAAAAGTCTACTGAATATTTTAAAGGACTAGTGTTTATTCCTCCACAAATGAAACTTTCATAGCACCCGATGAGTACATTTATCTTGGACTGACCTATTTACCAGCAACTAAAACATGATATTAGTCAGTCCCTAAAGGCAATTTTGTCCTTCTCTGCCTGATGCTTTAATAAATCATTCCAATCAAGGTTGGCAGGTATTGGGGGAAAGTACCACATTTGCTTTTCATATTCTCACATTCTGCATGAACAATTGTTTCCCATTTAGGGCCTGTGATGATCCCCTTGAGACTGTTGGCATGTTCCTATGATTCTAGTTTCTGGGGAACTGGTCATGTGTTTGCTTTGGCAGAATATAACAGGAAACTTTTCTTTTTTGTGTTTTCACAAGGTAAAGTTCTGGGAATGTTTTAGAAACAGGCTCCTGTCCAAGACAATGTTTCTACTGTAATAGAACATTACAGGAATGATTCTCATGAACAGATTCCTTATTCTGACTCAATCATATGTTTTAAAAGACTGAAGAGACTTGATTTGATTGGTCATATTTCTATCAATTCCCCCTGTTGCCGTGAAAAATGTGAGTGTGCATGAAACATGCTTCTCTTGTTCAGACAACCGAAAAGCCCCAGAAGGTGCCATTTTCCTCCAAACAGGAAACTCAAATCCTACTAGGAGTACTAGGAGAAAGAAGGATGTAGACAACAGGGGCCTGGCCCTAGGGATGAGATAAACCACAGCTTATGGTTCAGCCATGGTCCAATGGTGGTGGTGACAGTCATACTAAGGCCAGAGGGGTCTTTCTCTTGAGCTGAGGAGATGAAGGAGAAACTATAAGATGTGAAACAAGGCTCCCAAAGCCAGCTTGCCATAGAACTCTAGTAACTAGCCCACTCTGCAATGGAAGGGAGCACTTCTGAGACTTTAAACAGCCAACAAAACATTAAAACAAAAGAAATACACTCCATTTAGGTTTCTGGTCTTACTTGGTAAATCTTCTTAGGTAGGTATTGTATTAGCTAAAGCCAAAGTTTCACAACAGGTATTTGCATTTTCTTTTCTTTTTTTGCTTCAAAAAGAAACAAATGAATATCCCTGATGTCAGAATCTGGAAATGAGGCAGCATGTTAACTATCATGATCTTAGAGGGGGCACATTTTGAAATTTTAAAATAATTACTAAATCTTTTGTAATGTCTTAAGTAATAATTTCATGAATCAAATCACCACTTGTCTCATTTGATTATTTCAATGTTTTACCTGAGAAAGGAAGCCATGAGGAAGCTTGATTTCACTGTCTGCTTCCAGTGTTGCAAGAAATTAAAAACTGAAACAGCTACCCTATATTTTGTACTTTTTAACAAAAACATAATTTTTGTGATGTTGTTAATGGAAATGAAGAGAATAAAATTAGTTTGGCATTTTATCATGAAGTTAAGATTGTGAAGGAAAATGTCAGAGGGCCCGTTCTAGCGAGAGTGAGAGAGAGAGTGCGAGCAAGCGAGCAAGAGAGAGAGGTGGGAGAGGAGGTGAATTAGCAGCCTAGGCTCCTGCCACCTGGCCCTGGTCCTTTTCTTTTTTATATATTTCTTTTTTTTCAGTATATTATGAGAGTACAAATGTTAAGGTTGGATATATTGCCCTTGCAATATATCTCAAGTGAGAGCTTCAAGCATGTCCATCCCACAGCTGGTGCACATCACACTCATTATGTATGTATATAACCATCCCCTGCCCTCCGCCTGCCCGACACAAAATAGATGTTATTCCTATATGTCCACTTAGGTGTTTATCAGTTAATACCAATTTGCTGGTGAGTATGTGTGGTGCTTGTTTTTCCATTCTTGGGATACTTCACTTAATAGAAAGAGTTCCAGCTCTAGCCAGGACAATACAAGAGGTGCTGTATCACCATTGTTTCTTAAAGCTGAATAGTACTCCATGGTATACATATACCACATTTTATTAATCCACTCATGTATTAATGGGCACTTCAGTAGATTCCACATCTTTGCAATTGTGAATTAGGCTGCTATAAACATTCGAGTGTAGGTGTCTTTTTCATAGTGACTTTTGTTCTTTTGGGTAGATGTCCAGTAA